TCTGTGATGAATGCAGGAACATGTCCAGGAGGTGGGGGCTCACAATGATGGGGAGAGGCAACACAGGTGAATGGGATTAGCATCAAAGGAGCTGGCTTCCAAAGGACCTAATGATTAGGAGTGCGGGCCCTGGAGCCAAACTCCCAGAGTTGTAATCTGGGCTTTCCCACATAACAAGCTGTGTGACCTGAGACAAGTTATGTACCTGAGCTTCTGTGGTCTGCGAACAGGGCTGATCACAACAACATCCCCTGCATCTGTGGCAAGGCTGAAATTAGATCATCCATAGTCCTTAGCAGAGTACCTGTCCCTCAGATACTTAATGTGAGTCTTTATAGCTACTAGCTCTCAATTACTGGTCACGAATAAGGGAGGAATCACAGGAATAAGGGAGGAAGAGGAGTAACGATGTGGAGGCAGCAGCAAGGAGTGAGTTCAGCAGCCCTGCCTCCCCACTAAGAGGGACTTGGTTCCTGAGCAGGTGAGCAGCCTCTGTCTGAGCGGGCTGCCAGGGGCAGGGTCCTCTGGAGAAAGGCAGGCTTCAAAAATCTTGGTTACTATGGAGTCCAGGCAATAGGAGAATGGAACAGAGGAAGGCTATAGAATAATGACTCACGCAGCCCACCCTCCATTTCTAACGTGGGAACCGTGAAGAAGCTGCCTCCTGTTTCCCTGCTTCACTTCCCCCTCCACCTGTTCCAATTCCTGATCTCCCCTCTTCAGTTCTGCCTGCCCATCCTCCAGCTCACTCACTGGACACCCATGACAGCTGATCCCTATCTTCTCCTTTACCCTTCCGATCTCCCAGTCTTAGCCGCCTCCTCCCTCCCTTGCCTGTCCCTTTGCTCCTTCTCTTCCCTTTTCTGTTTCTCTGCCCTTCCATCCACCCACCATCCTTTCTGCCTTGCCCCCTTCTCCTCTCTCAATCCTTCCTTTGCCCCTGACCTGGCTCCTTCCTCAAGCCTGCTGAGCCCTGTAATTTTCAGGTCTCTCACACCTCCTCTTCAGATCTCAACCAGGTCTCGCCTGGTGATTCCTACTACCTACCCAGGGACTAAGTGCCCCTGCCAGTCAGATTCCTGATTCCGCCCAGAACTTCTGGCAACATAAGCACCTAGTGGTCTATTGATATGTGGGCCGACAGCCAGCCAGCCCCAGGCCACAAGGTATCTCCCTCAGCCAGGGCGTTTCTCCTGGTATTACATTCTTAGTTGTACTAGTCTTGGCCAGCTCTCTGGCTATCTAGATTGATAAGAGTTCTTGTTCCTGCATGGCTCAACTGGTTAGCCTTAGTGGAATTCGAGATTTGTAAGTGACCTCTGGACCCTGCTATACCTGTGGTCAAACCATGGCTAACAGCAAGAGCATGACAAGGATTCCACGGCCTCTGTCCTGTCTTCCAGGAAGATAAGCCCTGTGGATCTGGCACTGTTGAAGCAATTTCTAGAAAGAAGTTACATGAAAACATAGAAACAAAGACCCAGAGCTTCTCCTTTAGAGAGACCATGACTCATTTCCTCTCAGATGTCATCTTTGTCCCCAGATGTGCAGAATATTAGTTCATTTTAACCACCTCTATAACTTATACTTGAGATTCTGACTCCTACAGGGAAAAAAATGATTTCCAGTGGATTCTGATCAAAATTATGCCAAACTGAAATCTCTCTCTCCACAATCAGAATTCAAGGATAACAATCTATAAGACAGTTTCTTATACCCCATTTGACAAGGATAAAGAACCAAAGTTTATTAGAAAACTTCAACCTTGAGCTACAAAGTCTTGTGGATATCACTAGAAGGTGAATGCAT